ATTAGAGGTGATATTGTACTATCTTGATTTAGTTTCACCATTACATGATCCAACTACTAATAGTACTACTAATTTGAACTCGATATTTAGCTCTCATAGCTAGGAAATGACTCCGCATTGATGGGTTAGAAAGCGAGCCTTAGTGTTACTCTTTAAGTGTATTATGGTAGTGTTTGATTTTAGATTATATTGATCATCGATGAGGAGGATAGCAAACTAGGAGATTGTATGCTTCGACTTAGCTCCATATCATAAATGAAATGAGAGATCAAATTCAAATAAAATTATAAGAACTAAATACGTCTACTATCATTCATTTGAATGGTTCAAGCTTAAAGCTTAACAAAGTTAATGTATCATTTATCTTATGAGATTAAATCTAGAGATGATGAAGCCAATTCTTCAGGTGAAAATATAGATTAAAAGGAAAAACACTTTTTTTTAATACAACCAAAGCTCTACTCAAAGGATTAAAAACAAAATATAATTCATAAGTCCTTTCAATTTATTTTTTAATATTAAAAAAATATTTTATTAAATAATATATAAGACACTCGGTTCAAATTTGAGATTTATCACTTATACGATAATGCATTAATTCATCCCATATCTAAATATCTCGACACACCTTTAAGTTTATTTTCGCATTGAAAATATATAAAGAAAATTAAATTTACTTATATGAATTTTTGATGAGTCGATCATCATCCATTTAACTTTAAATATTTTGATTCAATAACCTTCGCTCACCATATTTTCTAGTAGCGTTAGAAGTGATAGCATCTTCTCTTTCTATATGTATAAATAGACATTATATCTGTGATAGATAGAGAGGATTTTCCTCAACTCGAGAAAATCTCATCTGCTAGAAGCTCCATTACTGTTTGGTATAACTCATTCCACTTAAATATGCCGTCTCTACTACTATCCATCCCTCGATATGAACATGACTTAAGAACGATCTCTACTAGTATATACGACTTCAACACCGTCCATTTCGGCAACCAAACGCTGACTGCAAAATATGGTTTACATTGTTACGAAATTAATGTCGACTGGGCACCGAATCGGAAGGCAGTGAGGAGTCATTATCTGATGGGCGCTGCAATTTGACATCTCAACCTCATCAAAATAGACAATGCATTGTTGGCGTAGGCAATCGAATCCCAAAGAGTCAGACCTCAGTTTTGCCACTCCAACACGAGCAAGTTTTCTAATGAGATCGTCTCAGTTTACAGATGACAAATTTGGATTGTCTCCTTGATTTCACATCACCAAATGAGATCATATGGTTAGGTAGAATAATTGGATGATCGATTCTACGGTGTGTTCGGAATCACTAACGTATGCATGCATGCATGCATACATGAGGAGTGCGTCGGCTGCCTACCTTTCACCACTAGTTTATGGCCCTCTTTGAAGGGTACCCTTCTCCTACCCCTCTTCGAGCTTCACCCATCATGCTCGCTCTCGCTCTTCATAAGCTTCACTACTTTGTCTTTGTCAGCATGAAGGTAGAGCAGAAGGAGAAGAAACAGATCGGAAGCAAGTCAAATGCTTCCTCTTCTTCCTTGAGCTGAAAGCCAAGCACACACAAACTGGAAGGAACAGGGTGGAGGTTGAGTGCTTAGCTCCTCTTTTCTCTCTCTAAGTCTTGCGTGTATTTGCGTGAGAATTTGAAGGTTTTGGTTGTGGAAGTTCTGCAGGTAAGAAGAAGGAGAGAGAGAGAGAGAGAGACAAGGATGGCCGGAGAAGGAGCGGCCGCGGGGCCAAAGCAAGATGACACACAGCCCCACCCGGTGAAGGACCAGCTGCCCGATATCTCCTACTGCATCACCAGCCCTCCTCCATGGCGTATGTTCTTCTCCAACAACACTTTCATGCTGCTTTTACTCGGCTTGTTCTTCTTGACTTCCCTTCAGTTTGGCGGTAGCAGAAGCCTTTTCTGCAATTGCTTCTCTCTGCTAATGGTGAAGTCTTCTCGTGCAGCTGAGGCTGTCCTTCTCGGGTTCCAACACTACCTCGTGATGCTGGGAACCACGGTCATCATCCCCACCGCTCTCGTTCCGCAGATGGGCGGAGGAAACGTGAGGCTCGGCCCGCTTCAAAATCTCTGCTTTCGTCATGCATAGCATCCTAATTCTGAGCTGAGAGCTGCCTCTTTGGCAGGACGAGAAGGCCAGAGTGATCCAAACATTGCTGTTCGTGGCTGGGTTGAACACTCTGCTGCAAACCACATTTGGAACTCGGTTGCCTGCCGTGATCGGCGGCTCATACACCTTCGTCGTGCCCACCATCTCCATCATTCTGGCTGCTCGCTACAGTACCATTGTGGATCCCCATCAGGTATCATCAAATCCGATCTGTTCCAACTCAGAACATCAAGGTTTGTGCCTGTAGAATTCAAGTAAGCATGCTTGGCTTGCAGAGATTCCTGCACGTCATGAGGGGAACGCAGGGCGCTCTCATAGTCTCTTCCACCATCCAGATCATACTAGGCTTCAGTGGCCTATGGCGTATAGTCGTAAGGTTTGTAGTAAGCCCGTTCTCTTCTTCTCCTAATTGGATCGCAGATTGATTGAGACAATCAATCAATGTCTGTCTAATTCACGAACACATATCGAGCTGTAGACTACTGAGTCCTCTGTCAGCAGCACCATTGGTAGCTTTGGCTGGCTTCGGCCTCTACGAATTCGGCTTTCCCGGAGTAAGATCTCCCCTGTTATGCTCTGCTTCTCCTTTTACCTTGTGATTACCAAGAGAACGAGGATACACTGCTGTTTAATCCTTCTCGATACGTGATCTGCAATTGTTGACGAGATGTGTTATGGACACAGGTTGCCAAATGTATCGAAATTGGACTCCCACAGCTCATAATTCTAGTAATATTCTCACAGGTGCAGTATCCCAATCAATGCCTCAAAAAGAGACGTGCCTTCAATCCCTTAAAGATCACTTCAAATGCATGCATTGAGCTTGCTATAGTTGAGAAGATTTGTATGATCTGACCGAAACTGAATCGTCCACGGTTGCAGTACATACCTCATCTATTACACTCAAAGAAGCATGTCTTCGACCGATATGCCGTCTTGTTCTCCATCGCAATCGTATGGCTTTATGCTTTCATCCTCACGGTGGGAGGTGCGTATAAGCATGCAGCAGCAAAGACTCAACAGCACTGTCGAACCGACCGTTCTGGCCTCATTGCTTCATCTCCATGGTAACGCTAATATGCCTCTCGTGTTCATCGACTCTGTCTTCCTTCGATCTTAGAGGAGTAAGATTTGAACTTGCCAAAGTCTAGGGGGTATCAGAAGCATGTCCGCGAGTAAGATTCTCCTATGTGCAGGATAAGAGTGCCATATCCCTTTCAATGGGGAGCACCAACCTTCAACGGTGGCGAAGCTTTCGCCATGATGGCTGCTGCATTCGTTGCTCTCGTAGAGGTCTGCTGCGTCACTTGTCAATCTCTCTCTCGCGAATCTGCATTGTCCAGCTAATGTAGGAGAGACTTGCTCTTTCACCATGCAGTCGACCGGTGCTTTCATTGCGGTTTCAAGGTATTCGAGTGCCACACCAGTGCCTCCTTCAATACTTGGCCGTGGAGTTGGATGGCAGGTACTGCATCTCCATCCATTTCCTGCAAAGCTAATGATCTGTCTGCAACTGGTTGAGATTGTTTGCTTGCTTCAGGGCATCGGGATACTGTTGGATGGGATTTTTGGAACAGCGAATGGATCCACTGTGTCTGTGTAAGGCTGCAGAGATCAAAACATCCATAGTAGACATGCTTTGGCCACTACTGATCGCTACTACTTCCCAATGCAGCGAAAACGCTGGATTGATAGCTTTGACACGGGTTGGAAGCCGAAGAGTAGTTCAAATATCTGCAGGATTCATGATCTTCTTTTCTATACTCGGTGAGTTGCTCAGTCAATTCTCTGAAACGTAATTTACCGATCTAATCCTCGTGTTCTTGCAGGAAAGTTCGGAGCCGTGTTTGCGTCCATTCCCGGACCGATCATAGCAGCTCTGTACTGCCTCTTCTTTGCATATGTTGGTACGCACGCAACACGAAGCTTCTGATTAGCCTGGAGTTCTGCTTGGCAAAGAATAGGCAAAGAGAGTTTCTATATAAGTTCTTTTCTCACAGGTGTTGCAGGTCTCAGTCTCCTTCAATTCTGCAACCTCAACAGCTTCAGGACAAAGTTCATCCTGGGGTTCTCCGTGTTTATGGGGCTATCGGTTCCTCAATACTTCAACGAGTACACTTCTGTTGCGGGTTATGGACCTGCGCACACTGGCGCAAGATGGGTGAAGTCCCTGAGCCACAGTTAAAACTTCTTCTTCTTCCTCCTCTTATGCTTCTTCTTTTGCAGTTCAATGACATGGTGAACGTGGCGTTCTCCTCGGAAGCGCTTGTGGCGGGCTTCGTGGCGTATTTCTTGGACAACACACTGCATAGAAACGATACCACTGCGAGGAAGGACAGAGGATACCATTTCTGGGACAAGTTCAGATCCTACAAGACTGATCCCAGAAGCGAGGAATTCTACTCGTTGCCGTTTAATCTGAACAAGTTCTTCCCTGCGGACTGAACCGCGAAGGCCATGCCCGGTGTTCTGTAATAATGCTCGGACAGATACCGGTTCTTCCGCTGTCTCTGGGCCTTTTTAGGCTGCAGATGGAATTGGATTGGGTGTCCTGCAAGGAGACAAACAAAGGTTTATCACAGTTTGCGAGGTCCAATTCCATGACTGCAAACAATTTCATTTACTCATCAGGAACTTCTGTTGTGTGTCAGAAGAGTCACCCGAAGAGGAGGACTATTGGTGTGTCTACAAATCTTCATGTTCTCTTGGTAGAAAGCACATCATAACATTAGAATAGTCGAGTCAGATTAGCATCTCTCCAGCTTCCAAGTGGCCTAACCAGTTTGGAACCAAGGAAGAACTTCATATAGTGCTACAATTTTGAGGAAATAAGAGTAAATATCACAATTAATGCTTCAAAACCAATAACTCTTCATTCGATACTAGAAATCATTCTAGAAGAATTTGTTGAGTAGATGGGTGTTCTTTGAATTATGATAAAAGACTAGTCTGAATCGATAGAATTTTTTCCTCATGGCATCCATGAGTTTTGAACTAATATAGAGCATGGATGAGCCACAAAAGTATGAAGTTCCCGCACCCTGCACCTTTTCATCTCATCTTTATGTCATTGAGGAGACATTAGTGAGCTTCAGAACCAATAATCCTCTTCGCGAAAGATGGCAAACAGAACGCAGCAGAATGGATCTGAGAGAAAAGCCAGATAATTTAGGAATTCGGTGCATAAAAGAAATGGTTAATCACCAAGGAATCATTTCTTGCAATGAGAAATACCTCGGAATTGTAAAACTTCAAGGGTCCTTTAGATTTCTTGGAAACCTCATCCTCATCAATGTGGTTCACAGGATGCTGGAAATCGACTGGTGGCCCCTCGGTGGAGCAAAGCATGAAACCGATCACTCCACTTCATTCATAAACCATCAACAGAAACCATACCTGTTTCATTAAGCAACTCCAAGAGAACAACCTGAGAAAACTCGTGTGATTGACATGCATACCTTGGGTACGTAGGTACAGTTGTCCAAGCATAATTCACAGAGCCCTTAAAGACTTGACGACAGGCAGATAAGATGCCTTCGATGAGCTGCATATGAAGCCATATGCTCTCTGCTTGTGTGCACAAAACTCCTCCTGGACGAAGAACTTTAGCAATTGATTCAAAGAAAGGCTTCTCGAAAAGTTCTTGAGCTGGACCTGAACAAGTAAAGAAATTAGAAAGTTCTCAGGAAACAAAAAAGGCAGAAAAGATTTACTAGTGTATACCTATTGGATCGGATGAGTCTACAATGACCGCGTCGTAAGTACCTTCAGGAACACCTTTGATAAATGCAACTCCTAAAAGTTTGAGACAAAAGATGAAATAGCTTACGATTCTGCAAAGACTGTAATTATTTTTTTGAAGTCAAGTATAATAGCAATGATATACTGTGTTCGGCAAGGCACAAAATATTAAACCTGAAGGTTGTCTAGTCATATTTGGATTTTGATGTATGTGGGTATATCTTTGCAACAAAAACGACTTGAAATCATTTGCATATGCGCACAAATGGTTAACCAGATCATTCTGTTAATATATACAGGACTAACTATACAACAACTAACAGAAGTCACTTACCATCACCAATGTGTAGAGTAACACGAGGATCTTCGTATCCAACGGCCAGGTGCGGAAAGAATTGCTTGGAAACCTATCAAAAGAAGAGACAATAACTATATAAATCTGTAACTTGTCAAAATTTGAGGTTTGTCTATAACAGTATCCAACAACCAGGTGCGGAAAGTCTTCGAGGTTTTACTTTCCTTAAGTATTGCAAATTTCAAGACCATGTGGAAACACTTGAAACTATTAGAAACAAAAGGCTCTTAAATCATCATGACATGCAGATACATAGCAAATGCTAAGCTACAAGTACAATAAGTTCATTTTACTCACATCAACAACCATCTTATCAATTTCACATATGTCTATTTGCTCCACAGAAGAGTAGCGTGATACTTCTCGCAATACACCACCATCACCACCGCCAATAACCAAAACCTGAAACAATTTCAGTTAATAAAATTCATAAGACATGTAGAAACTTTAAATCTAGAGAGCAAGCAGGTTCCTATCAAATTCATGTAAGTTCTTTGAATTGCTAAGGAACATTAAATTGTCTTTTCCATAAGTTGAACAAAAACTACCTAATAAGTACAAAGTTAAAATATTCAAATAAAGATGAATGAAAAAAAGCCAAATAAAAGACATTCAATTGATGAAATAACAAAATTAATAAACTTTCCTAGAACCAGGACATTTTTTTCAAGTTAACAACGTATCATGCAAAACAGCAGACCATTTATATCACAAGTAAATGCTAAACAAATTAATATCAACAAGTGTCCATTAAAAGTATAATAGAAATCTTTTGCCAGTTTACTATCAAGGCTTCTATATTATGAATCAAGGATAAATTTAGTAAAATATGATAAAGTTAAGAAAGACAGTTCCTTCCCTACAGAAAAAGGTGAGCATGGCCAAGATGTATACGCTTGGTGAACTTAGTTAACCCAACAACTGATAGGTTCACAAAGCAAACTAACTACATTAGTTAAGAAAGGATGACCAGTGCATGGTGCTCTAGCTAATGCAAGGTATAGAGAGGGTCAATATACCCCTACAAGCAGAGAGACTATTTATGTGAGCTACAGGCTGGTCACCTAGGTCACTAAGGAGTCAAGGCTTGTCCTCAATTTTAAAGTAACCAATAAACTGCAAATTTTAAAACGATTCTAATGATTCTTCCAACATTAACGCAAATCGAAGTCTTATAAGATCATATGCTGCTTTCAACTCAAAAGAAACCTATTTCAAGCCGGTGAATGCAGTTTCCGTTTACAAAGATAAGGAAAAAAGGGGCAATTCTAGAATGTAACCAATACCGAGAAAAAAATTGACCACCATTTGAAACCAAGGAAATACATATAATAGACGATTGGAAGAAATGGATTCAGTCATTGGGAAAGACAAGCTGCTCAATTAGCAGAGATCATGTAGAAGCCCACAAAAAATTTTGATGTTCTTCCATAAATAGACATAGAGACAGATAGAAATAAGATTGTGTGCAGAAGCTGAATAGAGATATCTCACAGAACCCAATGCTATGTCATAGGAGGAAGTTTTCAGTTAAAAGCATGTAGTTATAGCAAGCAATTGTCAGTCTGATAATGTCCCAACAGCCAAAGCTGGATTTTTCACTAATTGTTAAGAAACAAGACGTTCATTATGCTTTCCAGGTCAGTACAAACTACAAATCACTTGAGATGGCAGGAGCAAAAATTGCTGCATGACTACATAGTTCACGCTAAATAGTTACCAAATAGCCACACATATAATGAACAAACATATTTAGTTCAGTTCCTTTTCTTCATAGAACTACAAGTATCTGAAATCTAGCAACAGTTCCATGGAGCTCATATGCAGAACAATCGTCTCGAATCTAAAGGAAGTTTGTTAGTACAAGATAATCTTACAAAGATATGACCTTCATCACTTGATTTGCTAAAGTACCTTTTTAGGATTCGGGATCGAGCAAAGTGGAAGATGAGTAATCATTTCTTGGTAGGCACATTCATCCCTTTCTGTTACTTGAATCACTCCATCCAAAACAAGCACTCTGCCGTATGTGGACGACTGCCACCAAAACAACATAAATATTTTATGCTTAGCATGACTAGAATATTTAAGTTCAACAAATGTCACATTAACAACGAAAAATCCAACGACACGCCACTCAAAAGTGATAATCACCTGAAATACCATCACATTTTGGTAATCTGACTTTCCTTGAAACAGTACCTTTTCCACCTTTAGAGAGTGAGCCTCTCCTGCAAAAGATATCAATGGTCATACTACAGATGAAATGCTGCAAGAAATAAACAATAATTCCTGCACTGAATCCTTACAGGAAACCAAAAGCAAAAAAATATGTAATTCCAAATTATGTGCAAGAAAATGTTGTTTTGGTAAGCTCGTGCAATAAAACTGCTTTCTTCGACACAGAACATGTAGTTTCAGAACGCACGGGAGCGCCTCTAACTGAGACATTAAGCGGAGAAAACCCTCACCAAAGTTGTCAAGAAGCACAAAAAAGGCAGACCACACAAAAGAAAGGCTATCAAGAATCATTTGTGTCAGTAGCATTCGCTCATATGATACACTAACACCCCTTCATATCCACGAATTATCCATCGAAGTTCAACAGAGTTCGATGCATCAGAGTAACGCAGGGGCAGCGAGAACGCTGCAAGAGCATCACAGAAGAGGGTTCGGACGCAAAATCCAGACCGCACCGACTCCCAAGGGGATCAAGAAAAAGAGGGCGGAGGGACCTGGCCACAGTGGGCTTATCTCGGAGAACCACCCGGGGATGACAGAGGAGACGCCGTCCGCCGGCTTCCCGTGCTCCGCGGAAGGTGCTTCCGGAACACCATCGCTTTGGCACTCGCCATCGACCTCCTCGCTCGGCCTCGCCCTCTTCTTCGCCGCCGCCGCCTCCTCCTCCTCCTCCTCGCCGACAGCCGCCATGCCGCCTTCGAGCTCCATCTTCCGACGCTGCCGCCCAACGCTGTCGCTCTGTGCCTCGAGTACTCAATCCCTTGGTTGTAGACGCGTTTATATTTCTATATTAGCCACCTCAAAGTTATGGTTTATCAAATATACCCCTATAAATTGTGCATTCAAATACGAAATGACTTATTTACCCTTATTCTCTCTACTACATATTAATCTCAATAAGATTAGTATGTATGCCTTGAAATATACCCACATAATGTGATAAATAGGCAGACTGTAAATTGTTTTGTTCCCATAAAGAGTTTTGGTACCAAAAACATATTATAATGACAACATGAAACGCATATGATAGGGGTCTCAATTAGGGTTGGCATTCTGAGACTTTTGGAGTACCCTTTATTTATTCTCACCTATCCTTTGGAACATGTGGAATCATCATGGACATGTGTCCCCAAATTAATTAATTATTTATTTTCCTTTTCAGTGTTAAATTTGAGAATAAAAGAGGTTGATTTCCATGTTATTGTCTATGATAAACTTCAACATTAGTTGTGTATATCAAAGGGTAATTTATCTAGAAAAAAATCACTATCAATTTATTTTTAACTATATTTTTAGTTAAATTTTAGTTTTTATTCTTATAAAATATTTTATTTAAATATTTAAAAAAAATTCTGAATATATTTGAATCGATAAACCGGTTCAAGTTAAAATTATCGAACCTTATGTGGCTTTCTTCTTCTTTCTTTGTCTCTCTTCCATCGTCCTCCGAGAGGGGCGACACGACGAACGAGATAAAGGATAGTGAAGAAAATGATATAATAAAAAAAAACTTGATCATTTTTTTTTTTTGGACTAAATCAATCTAAAGTGTATATTCCTATATCGAATGGCATGTAATGAATTGCTTTTTGATTACATGTTTCTGCAGATATCGAACTGTAACAATGAGTTGCACGCCAATTATGGCAGAATTAGCCAACGAATCAAGAAGGAACAGTGGAAGAGGTTTGCCAGCTTCGGATGTCAAAAATGATTGGCGGCATCGTTGCAGAAGACACGCTGCATGCAGCTCGATCACTGCGTTGAAAGTTGGGAGCTTGCTTTGCCAGGAATGATGGGGTCTGCTTCAGAAGAAAGAGACGCTTGCTGCTGTCTTTTGTGAGTGGATGAATCGATCGGGGGGCCTTTTTTAAGCTGCAAGTGCGTTCATAGATGTCGTCTGGTGCCATTTTTTTGGGGCGGTGGTGAGAGCAGGGAAAGCTGGGATATGACAGAGAAGAAAGGCTCACATGCTATCAGTCTGCTGTAGGAGATGGTCCGCCGGAGAAGAGAAAAAGAAAGAAAATGTTGGAATCAGATTCGAGTTATCCGATAAAAGACGAGAGTCAATCTTTTTTTAATATTACATTCGAAAAATAGGATGGTATTGTTGCTTGATACACGTAAAATGAAACGTCAATCATCTTAGTACTCTTAGAATCCTTGGAAGATACATAAAACGGTATAGCTTCGTGCTTCACTCACTCATGCGAACAAAAACGACCTGTCTTGAATGATTTTTAGATTGTTTTATGTACTAAAATCAAATTTAACTATATTGAAAAGACTTTCGATAAGTATCGAGATAAATAGATCGAAAGTAAATAATAATAATAATAATAATAATAATAATAATAATAATAATAATAATAATAATAATAATAATAAAACCCTTGTATCATGTGATCGAGTCCTTATTGGATAATGAAATTTTGAATCCGGATAATTAGAGAAAATATTTCGATTTCCAGTGATGTTAATCGAAATGGCCTCTCAGATAGTTCTTATTGTATATATGAAGATTGGTTTTATTTTTTCCTTATTGGGATTTGTACTGGGATGCTGTCTTCGACCATGATTGAAGGAATCATCGGACTCTCGCTTCCACATCCATGATGTCTTCTCCAAGACTCCAACTTTGAGCAGGACAATTACTTCTCCCAAAGTCCCAGTTTACAGTATAAAAAGGTAAAGCAGATGCTCTGGGCATCCACAAAAGATGGATGTTGTTTTTGGACTTTTATCTGTGCGACTCTACTTAAGATAAGTAAACACAACCAATATCTAAAACTTGCTACAGTGAGTCTATGAGAAGAGGACTAAAGAGAGTGACAACACTCATCATCAATAGCTTGATTCGGAGTCATCATGAGCTCAGGATTAAGCATTGTTCAAGGGAACAAGACTTCTGGAAATACCTGTTTGAAGCTGGTCTATAGCAAGGGGTGATAGAAAAGCAGTAAGATGCAAGGAATGCATGAAGCTGTAGTGCAGACTTACAGAACAAAAGAGACTGATATGTGCATCAAGAAAGCATGGAAGATTCATTAGATGACCTTTCAACTCTATTCAAAACCACTAATTTTTGCATGCATGATTGAAAGAAGATTTTAAGCCCACTTGTCTCAGTTTGAATGGATATTTCATGATTGATTTGATTATCTAGTGAGCTATTCCAAACATGCTGTACTAAACACTTGTTCGATAAAAAGTATTTGAACTTGGAGGATAGTCTTTGTATTTGCAAATCAATGTAAACCATAACCATATCAAAGTATGCACATGGAGATGTAATATTCCTCAAAATAATACGATAATATGATCAAAATCTTTGACTTTGATGAATTTAAACACTTGTCTCTCACCAGGAACTTCAACTTGATAAGAAGCTAATGGAGTAATATTCGTTTCAGAAGCAAGGTTTCAGAGTGTGGAACTATTATTCTATAAGACAATAAGGGATGATAAGTGTTTAGTTCAAAGATGTGAGTTTTAGCAATCAACGGAAAACCTTCAGCAAAGAAGTTAAAGTTTTAGTTGCTAAACCCTGATAAAATTTGTATCACATTGAAACAATCTAGCAACAATTTTTTTATCTCACAAAAATCTTCAGTGACAAAAATGTAAGCCAAATTTCAATAGTACAAAAGTTCAAATGTAAGCTGAAATCAATCATAAAAACTTGTCCATACAGATAGATAAGAACTATTCAGTAATCGATAAAACAAACTCTTTAAGTTCAGCAAAGAGTTTGGCACCATTTTTACTGCATGTGTGCGTGTGCATGCGCTTCATGGCACAATATGAGGGATGGCAGCTAAAGATGCTTGTACCTTCTCATTGGAGTGTGACAGATCAACCATGTTTCCTTGCAAATATTTCTCGTATGCAGCAAGGTCAAAGTGGCCATGACCGCACATAGCCATTAGTATGACTTTCTCCTCTCCTGTGTCTTTACAGTGCAGTGCTTCTCTAATTGCAGCAGCAATAGCATGAGTTGGCTCTGGAGCTGGAATTAGACCTTCGGTCCGTGCAAACTGCAATGCGGCTGGCAATGACAAAGATGAAATTTAGAAACACCCAATGATTCTAGCAGTGACAACCACAAACTCACGATATTGCTTTATACATGCAACTGACGACAAAAATATCATATTGGAATAATGAACCCGACCCTGTAACACACACAGACACAAATATATATTATGTAACACTGAAGAAAAGCACAAAAATCTTATGTTCAGTTACCTTGAAAGCACTCAGTCTGAGGTATCGCAATAGCCTCCATAAACCCCATCTCATAAACATGTGAAATTAGTGGTGCCATTCCATGGTAGCGCAAACCACCTACACCACAGAACAAGTTCAATATCCTGAAACTTATAAAGAGACAACAAAAAAGAGTCCAAACTACTGATGAATTTAAACCTGCATGAATTGGGTCAGGAACAAAGTCATGACCAAGAGTATGCATCTTCATCAATGGTGTCATCCCAGCTGTGTCGCCATAATCATAGGTATAGACTCCTTCAGTCAGTGAGGGGCATGCTGCAGGCTCCACAGCTCGTATCAGGGGATCCATTCTTCCTTTGAGCATCTCCCGAATGAAAGGGAATGTAAGGCCTCCAAAGTTGGACCCTCCACCGGTGCATCCTATGATCACATCTGGGGTCTCACCTAGTGCTTCTAGTTGGCTAAGACACTCCTCGCCAATGAGAGTTTGGTGAAGCAACACATGATTCAGAACACTTCCCAGGCAATACTTGGTGTCTTCATGAGTAGCTGCAACCTCAACAGCCTCCGAGATTGCTATTCCTAAGCTACCAGGGCTCGAAGGATCTTCCTGGAGGATTTTTCTTCCAGTATTAGTAACACTAGAAGGTGAAGGATGTACTTGGGCTCCCCATGTTTGCATCATTAATTTTCGGTAAGGTTTCTGGTCATAGGATGCACGGACTTGCCAGACCTGGATGCCAAGTTGCAAGGCAGATTAATATCATGAACAAAGACATTATTACACACACATCTCCTCACTTACCTCACAATTCAGACCAAACAGGCTGCATGCAAAGGCCAAAGAGCTACCCCATTGCCCGGCACCAGTCTCAGTCACCACATTTTTCACTCCTTGCTGAGCATTATACCAGGCTTGCGGAACTGCGGTATTGGGTTTATGTGAACCAGCTGGACTTGTGCCCTCATACTTGTAGTAGATTTTTGCAGGTGTCCCGAGAAGTTTCTCCAGTCTCTTAGCTCTATAATTCAGTAAGGAAGTTGAGCTTTCTGTTCAATATGGCAGAATGTATGGGATCCAACAAGACAAACCTGATGAGAGGAGTCGGGCGCCACAGCTTATAGATGTCAATAACTTCATCTGGTATAGGGATGAACCTGTCATCGCTCAACTCTTGCCTAATCAACTCATCCGGGAAAAGGGGTGATAGATCCTCATGCTTAAGTGGCTTGTGAGTCTTTGGATGCAGAGCTGGAGGAGGTTTTATCGGGAGATCAGCAACAACATTGTACCATTGTCTTGGTATCTCTACCTTGTTTACATCACCATAAACAGCTCTGGTTCTTAGTCCATGAGCGTGGGAGAGATTTTTGTGGACTGTAAACTTTAGGCTTGGCGCTGAACCAAGCAATGATCTTTCAACACCTAAAAACACAGATAGTGAGTATTATCGATTGTCATATTTATTCATAGAATATCGGAAACAGATGTCTAGAAAGACACCTTTAAATTAGGTCATCCAAAACCTACATAGGAAAATGAACAAAAGATATCAACTAGAGAAACATGATTCAACCCAGATGTGATCCTTATACAGACAGATAAGTGCATATTAATATAAAGTCAAAAATCTCTACAGAAGTATGAAGGTCAGAAGTTTGATTTGAGTCAGCTTAACCTGTATAACTAAGTGCAAATAACCAACTATCCTCAAAAGAATGGGAAAAAGCAAGTGAATGGATAGCATGACTAGCTGAAGTCCCTCTAGCAGTTGACTATCATGAGAAATTAGACATGTTTTAACTCTCTCAAAAACAATAGTTTTGCGTGTCAACAGTTCTAGACAGCTTACTTGCTTCATTACAACCTATTAGTGTACAAAAAATAACACATTCAATCACATCTAGGTCTCAGATTTCAAGCACCCTTTAATTATCACTTCATCATTCATATATGTGAAGAAATAGAAGAGCATAAACCAAGCTCAACTTACATCATAACAACTATGAGTTATAAAAGGTTTCCTGAAACCATGATGCAACAAACTACTTAGGATTACAAAGTTGCTTCTGGTACAACAAAAAAGTCGGAGATTTTAGCTAAATGTTTGAATTCTACCCCAGAGCATGTAGTGTTCTTCAGAAGCTCCTACAGCCAATTGTTTCTTAGACACAAGCATAGGCAGTAGTTGGCTAAATTTAAAATCTGAGAATGTAAGATCAGGTTCTGTGCCAAATCTAAGTTCACATACACAAAATAACTAAGCACAACTAAAATGCAAAAAAAAGGAAAAAAAAAAAAACAACATTTGAAAGCCTTACCTAATAATGATTATGCCATAGCCTCCCTACATTAGCTAGTTTTGCTGTCAAACAAAACTTAGGCAGCAATACCAGACAAGCTATCCACCTATGGCCGATCTTCTCAATGAGTCGCAAGCCATGCGACTCTAAGAAAATAGGAAACTGATCATTGTTTATATCCTAAAAGAGCCACAAATACCTATTCCATGAATTTATCCTTGAAATACTAAATTTTCTATTTCAAAAGTCTCTTTTATGCGCTAAGCACAAAACTAAGAATATGAAGACTCTTTTACACATGAAATCCGCGACACTAAAAATCAGAATTTGGGCCCCTCGGGCACTTGAGACTGTCGAAATTAGATCTAAAAGATCCGACATAATTGGGCATTATGAATCTGCAAATACTGCTGCAAAGAACTCATCGGTTCGGGTCAAATCCCACCCCTGGGTATGCTTTAGATGGCAAGCCAACCATCATCATTCAATCTTGAACAAAGGTTTTTCTCGGTAGAGATGAGGTTAATGGAACTTAGACAGTCACGATAGGATCCTGTTGGCACTGCTACAGTGGATTAACGCGACACAGCAACAGGGTTCGTGGAGTTCAGATGAAGCATACCAGGGAAGGATCTCCGGAGACGGTCGGAGAAGGGGGAGGAAGGCAAGAGCGCCGTCGCCATGGATCCTCTCTGTTCCTCCTCCTCAGAAGCTTCCTTGGCAGGCCGGCCGAACCCAACACAAGACGGCGAATGCGGTGCAGTAGGGCTCCTCAGGAAGCAAGAAATCGCTCCCTATTGAGCTGCGTGCGTGACATCGACTTGATTTGGGCGGATTCAGGTAGTCAGCGCCGCATGTGTGACACGCTTCCGAAGTGGCGAGGAAGCTGCAGAAGTGCGAGGCACGAGCCGCAGCCGGACACCGTATCTATCGCAATTAAATGCACGGCGACATCCTACCCGACTCAATTCAACGCGAAGCTTGGCAGCAGCAGGGAGTGCCAAATTCGCTGGGGTCCACGCATGCTGTGCGTAAAAAGTGGGGTCTTTAGGGTGAACTTCCTTTTCTTTAACATTTGGGAGCAGCAGGAGAGTCCGAATTCCGACCCAATCGTCGTACGTGCGCGTTCACTTGGGTGGGGAAGAGACAAACCACTGGGGTCCACCCTCACTGTACAAAGAATAAGGCCTGTTTGAGTGAACATTATTTTATTGTATTTTGCCATAAAGACCAAAGTACCCTTTTTATCCTAAAGTAATAGTATTTTCTTAAAATTTGAAGAAAAAATGTCAATATTAGGAGGCTAATTTAACTAGTAGAATAATCTCACAGCCATGGGCATAGACCTGACCTTTTTCATGATTAAGAAGAGTCTTAAACAAATGTGATTACTGAAAGCAACCATAAAAGTGTTCACCAAAATAAAGTTTAGATACCTTGCAGTGATATCATCATGGGCAGACAGATTGCAAGTCATGAAGGAAATGATTCTAAATCTATTCATCATGTAATAAAGGAATTTATCTACTTCAATGTGTTTTGACTTGCAAATTATCTGATAATTCTTTTGCAGATTCACACTGATGATAACTCTCCTGTCTACATCTAATATTACTTTTAATCTTTTCACCCAAAAAGTGAATGCTGCACCTTCACATACAGCCACAGCTAGTTGCAGGGAAGATAAATTATCTTTTGTTAGACTGAGATGAAGTACACTAAAGAAGGCTTGGATTCTCTCATCATGGAATATGAACTCTTAATATATTGTTTCTTTCATAATGGATGATGGTTTCATGCATTGGTATATGCGCTGGTGATATGTGGGTGTGTGACTCTTTGTTCTCATCTCTAATGTGTGTCTTGTAGCTCCTTCCCAGATTATTACTGTGCTTTGTTAGGAAGCACAAGTATTCGGAAGTCACAGCAGCCATAGGAGAAGATAACCTTTGATCTCAACCCACTATGAAGCACACAGCTTAAATTTACTGTTCTCACTGGGTGATAGGTTAACTGATGTTAATTTTGTACTAACATATCGATTAGATCTTTATAAGAGTACTCTTAACTTTATCTATGGATAGTTGTTTTCTATTCGAACATTTTTACCGTTCAATTTTGTAATAAATAATATATTTTCAGAATCTTACGTTTGCACTCATCAAATGGCACGATCACAATCGGAATCTATGGCGTGGTCCTCCACCGTTCTCTTGCCTATAAATGAGGGAGGCTTTCTTCTCCCAAGCTGATAGAGCTCCCTCCCCACACCTCGCTAAGGAAGGAGACAGAGAGAAAGAGAGAGACAGAGATGGGTGGAAGCCAGTCGTCTTTCAAGTTCTCTTCCTGCCTCTTCGTGAAGCCGAAGTGCAACGATGATGAGGCGGACGGGTACGTCTCCAGGAAGGTCCGGCCGAGCGACGAGGACCGAGGGTGGTGGGTGGGCGAGCCGGACGTCGACAGGAAGGCGTCTGCCTTCATAGCCAAGTTCCATGCGAGCCGCATCATGGATCTTGAAAGCCACGAGACCCCTGCCTTGGACGCTGATAACCGCACTGTCGCTGCTTAATCTCCGTGTACTCGCTCGTCCATCTCGCTCTACGTGTCGAACATTTGTTGTTGACGTAGCAGGAATGCCCGTCGCAGCAAGTTCGTTTCCAGCTGTTCATCTTATGGTAGAAATAATGATATGAGCCTCGCGTGTGGCTGCATGCACTTCTTGTTGTTCTTCAGCTTGTGTTGTGTGACATGCAATGAACACGAGAAGCAGCAGACACAAAAAACAGTGGAAGAATCAGCTGCTGCATGACCACACGACGGTATACGATGAACATGAGAACCAACGGGTGCTGTCGATTGCATGGTTCCTTATCTGCTGCATCATGTCCGCTGATATGGTAGCGTATTTCTTGAGATCAGTGGCATTTGTTTTTGTGTCTTTCTTTCTTCTTTTAGCCGAACAAGGATTTATTTCAAGGCTCCACAAATTCAACAGGACAATGGGTCTATCCGATTCATACCTCTCTCCTGATTCCTGTTCTGAAGGGAATCCATCCTAAAATATTCTCATCTGTTAAGTTCTTCCATCACTATACTTGTCTTTCTGGTTTGTTAAAGCAGCTTACAAGAACACTGTTCTCAGAGCATGCAGACATATATGTGAAATCCAACTCAAGCTTTTTGACCTGAAAAATAATTCCTGATGAGGTGCAGGTTTTGGAAAATCCTGCATGCTTTGTCCACTTTTTTCTGATGGGTTCTTCTTTTTCTATTTGGACAGTGACTTCCGATGTTCATTCTGTATGAATGGTACAATGGGAAAGGTGGATGCTCGCATCCAAGTTACGGATTGCTGAAGCTTGGAAGTCCCTATCAGTTAAAGTGTAGAACATTTATGGCTAACTCATGGGGTCCTCCACTTCACCTCTCTCTCTTTGCTCTCTGGAATGCACACTGGCCGAATCCCTTCATTATAATTTCTGCCATGCATATATATAATTTGCATCAATGCATGCCAACCTTTGAATACGAGATATATCACTTTCAGGGATTATCTCCAGCTTTCCAAAGAGTAAATGCATCAAACCATTGACGGTGCTAATGGTTGGCAGTGTAGTAGAATAACCCTTGGGAGGAGGAAAAGCCATTTCTGAGAAACAATGTGCTCTTTGGTATTTCTCATCGAATTAATGCACGATTTATGTATCAGAACATGATGGGATTCCTTCGCTTGTGTTGTTCCACACCATTTCTGAGGAGACTTGTGTTGTTCCACAGGGTGTAAGGGCAGCGCTACTATCCAGAAGCTGTTACTGTAGGAAAAAACAAGTACCAGCTTTGCAGATATTCCAGCTTCTACCATCCATTGAAAGGTTGGCTTATCCAAAGCAGATGGATATTCCAACGCCTGAAGTTTATCGATTTGGTGGGAATATATGATGCTAAGTGAGAGATTTGGGGAAGGATAGCTATTCCAGCTTGACTATAGGGAAAAGGCGGAGGGGGGAGGGAAGAAGAGATAAACCTATTCTAGTTTATCTTCCTGATCGTGATTGTGATGGAATGCGGGCAGTATCTCTAACCATGACTGCGAGATTAACTGAACCTTCTCGCTCTCGGAAGGTTACGTCGACACTTCGTTGATGGAACACAAATCCAAATTTAAAATATTGGGCTATATTCTTCCTTGGCTCAGTGGTAGATGAGGCCAATCAGCACAGATCGGGTAGGCATGAAACGCCTGCGCGCGAGCGGCCTTGCGCTTCGACTCAGATCACGAGAACATTGACTCAATCTTCTTCACTGTTTCTGATTGAGAAATAACACCAAACAAGTATAATCACGAGACACCAGTTACTGTAAGAGAAGATACATAAGCCAGAAGCATTTACTCATAGCTATTAACAAGTAATGTCGCGTATATTATTTCGAATAAATGTATGGATAATTACCAGGTTTTTCACCACCATACATTATTTCTTATTCTATCATGCAAGCTGAAAAGTAGTGGTGCCTTACAAGGATGGCACATTCGAAAGCATCAAATATCGCAACACGAGTTAGAACAAAACATGATGAACATCGGTGCACGCTCATCTGAGCTGCCTGTAACAGCTATACGCAACGGCAACAGAAGCAATGGCTGAAACAACCGCTAGGGCCGCGTAGGTTTCCTCTCGTTCCCAGCTCTTGAACCAGGTAGATATCGCATGGAGCTTCCCCGTGCAGGCTTCTTTGCTGTTGCCAGCATTGCTATCCTTGCCACTGCTCTTCTGTGCAATGTCTCGAGCCTCCTGCTCTTGTGCAATGTGGTTTTCGGGGTTCTCCTTGGGCATAACTTGGCAACAAGTAGTATTACCGATGCCTTGACAGCAACCGCCTACACTGACCCCGGTGGTATCGGTGGATACTTTGTGAGTGCTTTCGTCCAATCCCCCATCAAGCTGTAACCTTAGATTCTGAGCAGCTTTCTGTTCATCAATGGACAAGCCCATCTGCCCCCTGTACCAATGTTAACCTCATTGAGCTTGTACATCAATTCACTTTCTTCCAGCGTTAGTAAATATCTACTTCCGCATGATATACTTTGTGACATAAGGCAATGCAAAAGAACAATAACATAGATGAAAGTGAAGAGGTACCTCCAAAGATGGTCTACAATCTTTCCTTTTCCAATGTGCTGTTCCATCAATATAGGCACGTCATCTGGAGTCACATATCCATACCTTACCACGGAAAAACAAAAACCATTTGTTTACTTCTAATGTAATACATTATAATGACAACAGTATCTTCATAGACACTACGAAGAACGAAGAAGACAGCTACCAATGTGATGACAGTAAAACAACTCAAACCACCTGAAAGCTTCTCCTTACCAATGTCCAGACACTTCTCCATTATCATTTGGGCTATATATTATAACGTTTCCTGCATACTTGTGTCCACCAATGTGCGAGCAAGGGCTGACAAATACTTGACCCTGTAGACCCCGTGATGATATCTCTTCCTTAAATCGTTGCATCAGAACAGGGCCACAAACACCACACCTGCGATCTCGGCTTCCATGAGCACATACAAAAACATATGAACCTGAAAGTGGCTCAGGTGGATTTGGAAGCCACTTAGAGTTTTTCTTAAGCACTTCATCAACAAAATGTTCAACATCTGAATGTGTTAGTTGCCTGCAGACAATAAGTCCAGCACAAGCCTAAGAAACATGATTGACATTCCCGTGCTGCATTTTGCAAACAAACTATTGATAGGTTGCTTTACCTGTATCTTAACATATCTGGGAAGATCAAGACATCACCATTTGAGAAATCAGTGCCATCCTCTCCTTGACATATGGTAAGACGAGTCTGAAGGAAATAATGCAAAAAACAAAAAAAATGGCACAAAGCGTGAGCAAAACATACTTGTAGTCTAATTTTATGAAGGAAGTGGATTTTTGGAGAAGATACATCAATGTTGGCAACTTGGCATACAGAAAGAAATTTTATTTTTCGTGTGCTATTATATCCATGTATGTGCATGACAGAGAGCATGCATTAGCATCAACATTTACAAACGAAAGATATTTTTCAGACAAAATAGTCATAAATCTAAAACAAATTAATGATCCATGACAGGTTGATAAAATTAGAAGCAATGCAATGTTCCCCCTTACTACAAATGCAAATAGTCATATGATATATTGAAGCAACTAGAAGTTAAATATTTCACCAAATTAGCCAATCAGAGAATCCAAATAACAGATATACACAGGAAGCAGCTCTTAGAGCAGGGGTGATTTATTTATGTGCAACTTTTGGATAATTAATGAAGAACTGTAGAAACTGGAAACACTTAATAGACACCTTAATTCAAAAGAGGTTTAACTCTCTACAAGAACTGAAAGTCTCAGATGTATAGCAAGAGTGGGTCAACATTGCAGGGTCTTACATTTTGCTACTAGTAGAATCACAAGCCACATTACATAAATTAAGAGTATCTCTATATATAGCCACATCAAACATATTTAAATGTTAGTGTCGCACAACTACATGTGGAAACATTTATAATTGAAAGGTGAAATGTTCTGGAATGTGGTGGGTGAGTGTATGAGGCTAAGAAGTATGGATATGGACATGGGACATGGGCTCGAGAGCACGTGACTTGACAACGGCCACCGGGTCACTCGTAGGTGGGTCGCCGAGGAAGGAGGGTTGAAACCTCCGGTTCGCTCGAGAGTCAGAGTAGAGGTGGCTGACGGGTGGTGGTGGTATGGGGGGCACTCGGGTTGGGGGTAGAGCCTACCCCTTTTACAGGTGTGGTTGGGGCAGAGATTATCACGATGAGGAAGAAGGTAAGCCAAGCCGAAGAGGAAGAAGGGTTCCTTTACACGCAAACGCTGTATCCAACGAATTAAAAAATAAAAAATAAAAAAGGATGTGTGTCTTATCATGTCGATTACGAATCCCTGTCCGACATGAGTCGCAGGTATTAGGTAACATGCTCTGATCTTGCTAAGCTATTTGCTGACTTTAATGTTCCCATAGCAACAGCAATAGAAATATAATACATTATATTGATGACATACTTCTAATCATTGAGTATTTGTTGTTTTTGAATATATGAGAGAAGCAAGCCTAAAATGGAAAACTAGTGTGGAAAGTTTATCTAACGTGAGAACATTAGAAAGCTTGAGCCTACATCATCATAAGGCCAAGCGAGTTAAGGAAAAGATTGATGATATGTATCAAGGAACACAACTCTTATCAGATGTATCAATCCAGAATATCATAAGCTGAGGACAGTGCTATAACCTATAACATGATATGTATTTGTGGCTTAAACCTAAATGCCAAAATATACAAAAGATCACCATAGTAATCATGTTAAGGTACCAACACATTGCGAATAAACATTCTATTTCATGGGAAGAACATGTTTCAACCGAGATCTAATGATGAAAAGAATGCGCCTAAACATATTTAACATGAAAAGTTGGGCGAACTAAATGCATCCCAAGAAAATATAATGTCAACCAATTTTATGCTTCTGGTAGCTAATAAATGACTGGGCAACCATAAATAAAACTAACCATATCTTCTAAATCCAACCCTGTCCCTTAAAGATATTAATTGAATGATCAAAGAACATAGATCTCGAATCAATCGGAAACCAAAAGTACCACTTTTGGAGTTCGAGAGCAAAACATCTACAGTTCCCCTGTGAGGGCTGATCCTCTCAAGGTTAAAAATCGAATCTTTTGATATAAAGTCCGCATTCCAAACACCTAAGTTCTTGTGAATATACCAAAGAAACCTTCCAATAGGAAGGAGAAAGAACAGTTCCCCATGGGATACTGAAACCCAAGATCACAGAGCGCCAATGATTTCGGATAAAGGGGCTCACCTTCTTGTCGATCGAAGACTGCCAGGTCTTGATCTCGCCCGCCAGCGACCTCGGCAAGAGGTCGGACTCCGACCCCTCGACGTTCGGTGGCCAGACCTCCGGCGACTTGTAGCAGAGGAACAGGTGCCGATCGTACTGGTGGACCGTCCCCACGAGCGGTCCCTTACCGAACCCCCGCCGCTGGAACCCGTACTCCGCATCCTCCCCCGCGGCGGCCTCGGGGGCAGAGACGGCCCCGGAAACGGGTTCGTTCGTTCGCGAGCCTCCCCCTTCGCCGCCGGAGAAGGCGATCGCGGAGGAGGCGGAGGGTGAAGCCATGGAAGCGGGTGGGCGAAGATGGTTCGACGCAGTGCGAACCCCACGACCGCGAGATGGAGAGCAGCGGCAGCGGCAGAACGATGGGCCTGAAACGAGGTGTCTTATCATAGGGGGAGGGGAATCGGGAACGGGGAACGGGAAGCGCTTATGTTAATGTGGGCACCCTTTCATGCAACCGCTGAAGCACGCCACCGTCCATTCCACGCCCGCTTTCCACATCGACGGCGGACCGTTGACATGGACAATTCGGATTAGTCGCCTTCCCTTTATTTTAAGCCGCCATGAAAGAGAGAGGAAATAAAATGAAATGAGACTGTAAATGTTTGTCTTAATTATTGAGGGGTTTGTTATATATAAATAAATATATATGACTTATCTAAAGATGGTGTATTCGACTACGTCTTCAAATATTTAAATATTTTATATATGTCGCTCTCATTAGGACGCATACAATAATAATAAACTAAAGTTAATCACTCTTCATAATTATCAATAATTTTAAAAAAGTATTAATATTTGCAAATATCTAATCCATTTCTTTTATCATTTTAAGCAATCGTTTAAATTTTTTAAACTTAAATAAATTATAATATTATAAAATTATTAAGAAATATATTTAATATTTTTAAAAATATTAACTATAGAAATTCAATATATATATATATATATATATATATATATATATATATATATATATATATATATATATATATATATTCAATTTTAGTGCTATTACTAATATTTCTTTGGGGATGTTTGCATTCAGAAAAAACATTCACATAAACATTGAGAAACCAGAATTTAGGGTGCCATTGCAGATGATAAAGTAAGAAGTTGGAAGATGAAAGTAATAGAAAGACAAATGAGATCTAAACATGGATTTCAAAAGATGCATGGAAACAGCAACACAAAGCTTTCATCATTAGATTGACCAACAATTACAACATGTATGTACAGATGATTCCTTCTACTCTGCCAAACCAGAGAATAAGATACATCAAACATCTTACATCAACCTAAGCCTTCTTAACAGGAGCTACTGCAGAGGAGGGATGATCGATCCACTTGATTGTCACATACAACTCACCAGACTCGACATCGCAAAGCCTCAGACATGCGTCCATCACGATCTCGCCATTGACGTACGTGATACAACTACTGGCCAGGAGGCAATTATCGCAATCTGGAGCCACTTTCCGCAGCTTGGTCTCGCCTGAGGTGAGCTGCAGAGCCCGTTTGAGCTTCGAAGCTGAGAGAAGGGGCTGGAGGTCGAGGAAGGCATGACCCATCTTGTCATCTGACTTGAACCTGTCTCGATCAAACACCTCCTGAGGAAAAGTTTAATGAGACTAAATCAACTTTGTTTCGAGGAAGAAATGTATGGTTCTTCTGCTGAACTATAAGATGTTTGAGGATACAGTGTGCACATAGAGTTCCACACTCTTTCTCAAAAACCAAAAAATCTATCGAGTTATGTTGTTGTATGACTAAGTTATTCGGTGTAAAACAAAATAGCTCCTCAGGAAAAGTGTCGCCAGATAACCATTAACCTTTGCAAACAAAGAAACAGAAGAATTGCTGCAATTTCTTTGGACCTACCATTTCTCAGATGGTTTATAAGAACATTGTTTGATTTGTAGCCAGCAAAAGACAGAAACAAGAACAATTGGCAGCCACGGAATTATAGGTTGAAGTATCGCAACATCAATTTAGTTTGACTATCCGAGCTGAGACGTAGTGAGTGCTAGTTTAGTTTGAATTATAGGAACAGCATTTCTCCTATTATTTTGGATTCAGAATAGCAGAACATACCAGATTTAAGATACCAAGAGGTTCTTTTAGAGTAAATATCAGCTCTTCATTCCAAACCGGATTAAGGCAGCTATTGATGACCTTTGTCTTGGCACTCTAATCAAGCAACAAAAGTTAACACATGAAAATGGTAACCTTTCCACATAACATTTACAAAACAAAACATTATATGGAGTTGAAAGGACTGAGCAAAAACAGGAATTTGAATCATTGATTTGGTTCACAAGTTAAATTACAACAAAAGCTTTGTGAGAAAGAATATACGGCAAACATTTATAGAATAAGCTTCTGATAGGGGTGCAGGATGTGATGATACATAATGGTGTTTGCATGTTATAATCAAAAGCATGTGTACAATTCAGAACAAAATATATCTAATAATTGCTAGAAAAGAAATCATGCAAATATTTATTTAAAAATGCAAAGAAGCCAGCATTTTTAACTAATACAACCCAGTCATGAACCTAAATTCAGTGACAAATCTGAAACTAATCCTAATGAATCCCAAGCTGATCAAGTAGGACTTAGCAAAGTCCAAATTAACTGATTTCAATTTTCAACTAATACAACCCAGTCATGAACCTAAATTCAGTGACAAATCTGAACTTGATCTTGATTTTTGGAGGCTGTCTTGGATGAATGTAATAGAGAAGACAAAGAAAAAAAATCAACGGAACGAATTTAATGGATTTTTGAAACTAAGATCTTAATGATAAAAAGGTCTTTTCAGATTTTGCAACTATGCCTTTCATCGGATACTATCATAAGATGGATAGGAGAAGAAGAAGAAGAAGAAGGTCTTTTCAGATTTTGCAAATATGCCTATCAATGGATACTATCAGAAGAAGATGGAACTAGAAGAAAGACTGTTAAAGATCTGACAACAATTGTAAAACTGTGGAGGAGATGTCGACACTGGTACACCTGTCTTTAAATCGACGGATCCAACGGACCCATCTTTTAAGTGCATAGCCCAGAAATATCATCAGATGATACAAATAAATATTATGAGATTGGCAGAAACTGCATAAAAGGACTGAGCAACATCTTTCAAGTATCAATGTGCTTTAAGTTTTAACCCATTAAACTTTGATGTGAGATTCCTTACGAGCCAATTTAGCAATGAAAGATATCTTAGAACAGTAGGGAAAACCAAGTATCTATTGTGGTTTTGAGTATGAAGTTTTTCAGCTACTTAATTGTGGTCATTAATACTAAACATGGAGGAGAACATTCAGAAGCATAATAACAGGACGAAAGTCAATAAAAATATAAACCATATAAATGGAAAAACAATGCACCCTATAGAAAAATAAGCATCTTTGTCGACCTCCTGCTAAAAATAAAAAAAGACAAGGCAGAAAAGAAGCATCTTTATTGGCCTGAAACTATGATGGTGTCTGTTGATGCGTCCACAACGACACACAACCTTGACACAAGAGATTATGATTTCCTCAAACGCATGAACTTGAGTGTTCTATGATAATGCATCAAGTAAAGCTGCTCGATCATGCTATTACATTGAAATCTACGGATCAACATGTCAACAGGAAATAACCATCTCATAATCAGTTTAAGGTTGCCAAGACTCGCCTGATTTCCGACTTTGACCACAACATACGGATCACTGCTAGTAAAATCTCGAATCGCCAGATTCTTTCCTTGCACGATGATCACCTTAAGAAGTCCAGCAGCCTCCTCCTCCATGTATCCCCTCTCGGCCCAAATCTGGATGTTTCAACAGATAGATACCTCCTGCCCACAAAGCAACCCTACTAAAGACTTGGCAATGAATAGGGTCCAGCATTCGATTCATGGACGGCCAATCTAATTCCACTTAGCCACAATCTTTCATTCAAAACCATTATACTCAGCAAAATCATAGGTGTAATGGACAAAAAGAAGGTCAATTTTCCCAAAATGAAAAAGAAACAAACAATTCTTGAACACGAAAATTTTCCCAAAATCATTGGTGGCGAGAAGCAAATTTTAGCATTAGGAATAAAGAGGAATAGCAAAACAAGAACTGGTTTTACAGCCATAGAAGCCGGTTACGATCAGAAGGACAAGAAACCCGGAGGAAAGAACGAAAAGCAGGAACTTCAAGAAGACACCCATCATAATTCCATCAAAAAAGCGACTTTTACGACAAGGAAATCGAAAATAACGAGGAGAAGAACAGAAAAGTTGGATCTTTCAGCACGAAGCAATGAATCCTAACCAAAGAAGCAAATTTTCATCCAAAAAAGTGGAGGAAATCACCGCCGATGAATCTACTGTCTCTCGCCGACGGATAAGACGGAGCCAGAGAGAGAGAGAGAGAGAGAGAGAGAGGAGTCTCGTGGCGGCTTTCTTACTCGTGGAAAGGCGTACGGAACGTTCGCTTCGGGGCGTGTCCGCAGAAAAAGTGCAGTACGCGAATCCAACCCAAATTCTTCAATTAAGACCGGAAGGTGAAAACAAAAAAAGCATCAATAAAAGAAATCTCTAGCGATTTTTTTTATACATAGTTAACACTTTTTTAAAGCATCCAAATAATAAATTTAAACAAAAATAGATATTACAATTAATTATATTATTTTGATAGTCAATTGAATTGCCATGGAATTTTGACATCATTTATGACGTGTAAGATTGAAGGCACTCTATTTTTACTAGGAAGTGTCTCTCTATTTTTATTTTCTTAAATTAAAATATTTTTTTCTTAAACCTCAATTTTATTGCTGAAAAATGTTTTATTAATTTTCTTGTTATTTCGGTATAAAAATAAAAAAAATATATCTAGTTGAGATAGTAAAAGATGAATTGATCACTTTGCAACACAACATCACAATATTAAAAATAATAGGTAAAATAAAAAATTACAAGAATGCTACTTGAGAATTTGCTACTAAATCAAATTATCATGCTTCCACTCTTGAATTTAATTCTTCTATGAACGCTCCAAGAGAGAGAGAGAGAGAGAGAGAGAGAGAAGAGTTTATTATGAAAGTCACTCTAAAAGTTCTTCGTTCAATCGGAAAGATAATTATAAATTATTTTCATGTAATTAGTTATTTTTAATATTTTTATCTTTATATTTTTAAAAATTATATTGATATCGTTATGCTTATGAAGGTGAAGCATTTGATCTCGTTTTGAAGTATGTAATCTTGTTTCTTTTTACGTCATTGACTCTGTTGTTGATGGGAATACCATGCGTGTTCAATGATAAATCGAAGTGAAATAGAGTCAGCATATGTTCAATGATAAATCAAGATATTTTTGTCACCATAGTCAATGATACTAGGAGAAATATGATTAAATATTTTATTTTCATAAGTATAAAGATCCTAATATAATTTTTAAAAGTATAATGATTGAAATACTAAAATTAATTAATTACAGTCTAATTTGTAGTTAGGCAAAAGTTGATATGGATTTATAGAAACTTATAAAAATTGCAAAAAAAGAATGGGAATGTTGGACTGGGAAAGCAGAACTACAGTGAAAAGCAAACAAAGTGCAATAAATGATCAATTAAACTTCATCACCAAAGTTGTTCTAATCACTTACCTGCACCAATAAATGCTCCATTTGCAATATTTTGGCTTCCGAAACTGGTCGATACAACTCACGAGAGTCCAAATTCAGCAATCTCCATCTGCAATATTGCGACTTTTCTTGCAGGCCCTCCAGACTAGAGCAGAGCTATCAAATGTAGAAACAGGCATCATGAAAATTTCTTGACAAGCATGTTAAGAAGTAAATTAAAACAGTGAGGTGATTTGTATGTTCATTCAAAGCAAAAGGAATTGTTTTGTATATTTTTTTTATTAGTTGTTCTTTTATCCTTCAATCCATTATTGTGGTCACAGGTTGTATGTTCACTAAACCCCATTCTTTCATGAACAGGGGATATAAACTTGGTTGAATCAATCAATGGAGGTTGTATGCTATTTAGACCAACTTAGAGAGGCCCATGAAGCCAATGAATGCTTCAAATGAACAAGATATGGAACTGTGACACTATATCTGACCCATGTCTTCTTTCAGAACATTGCTAGTGCAAAGATGTCAAGCCATCACACTAATGAACTGATGCAACTATGAGCACAATGTGTCTGTTCAGAATCCAGGAAATGAGAAATTTTAAGCAAGAGAAGAAAGGTATAATAACCCAGTCGAAATGGTAACATTGAAAAGAGAGAAGAAGCTTACAAACCTTGCCCTCTCTTCATTCAATTTGAGTAGAGAAGGCTTTGGTGATGGAAGTCACAGTGATCTGTCTCTACTGATAAATCATGAGCAAAACTAGTCCAACTTGGCCTTCTCTAATGACTTATGAGTCAATACATGAAACAACAAATCATAATTCTCAACTATTTGTGATCAACTAATTATGCAAAGATTATGACTCTCTACAAGATATTAGCAGGTAATAATAATATATTCATAGCTTTCTTAAAGATTCTAATCTCTTTAACTTGAGGACCTGATAAGATTAAAGCACCCTATTCTCATTTCCTTAGCTTAATAATTAAAGGCAGACTTTTTTCAAGGAAAAAGTTGTCTTTTTTCGACATATGTTCGTTGATTTTGGTTCAAAGAAAGATTGTAAGTATCGACCGGACATTGATAATCTTTTACAGTGCGGGAAAGCAAGCTCACACATTTCTCTCAAGCTTGAGGAGGCCATCATCATACACTTGGCTGCAAAAGAAAGATCTGCCAAAAAGAGACAGTAACGACCCACCCTATCTCCGCAACACATGAACGATGCAGACAGCGGGGTTGCAGTTCTTTCATCCTGGAAAGCGGAGACACGACGTGGATTCACCGACAGTGCCTTCTTGTGCTGGTTTTATTTCTTTCCTGATAGCTGACTGCTGAAAGAACAGAAGCTATTTCCATATCTTGATTACAAGGAGTGAAGTTGAAGATGTCAAGCATATCTGTGTTCTTTGTTCTTCCGATATCTCTCTCTCTCTCTCTCTCTCTGGAACTAAAATTTTCTGCTTCCAGAGTTAACAAAACACTGTGTTTATTCAGATTTCCTTTTCTTCTTCTAAGTAAAGAAAAAGATGATGTAGTTTTGGTTAACAAGATTTGTTTTTTGGCATTAAAGAGCTTTGTTTCTGATTTCTTGACACAGAAAGCACAGGAAAAAGACAGGAAAAAAAGGGGAAAGAGGTTGCTTCACATGCATACCATGTGAGCCATGGATCTGCATCCATTGTTCTTTCACATGCACACCTCCCTACCCTACAACAAAGGTAAAACAAGACTATTTACTTTCCTCATCCCCTTGCTTGGGCTAGCCTTGCAGATTCAACTTTGCTCTCTCTCTCTCTCTCTCTCTCCTCTCCTCTCTTCATTGCCCACACAAAGAAGGTGCATATCTGTAGTTAAACCATGTCAAGAAGAGAGTAACATATCAATGAGTGTGATTATAACCTTATTATTCTGTTCATCAAACTGGATTATTAACACAACCATGATCAAAATGTACCTATAAATGTGTCGGCAGACAACTTTTTAGAGTCTCTTTATTCTCCCTGAGCTTGATTAATAATTAACATGGAAGATAATGCTAAAGAAACAGCATAGATGCTGCTGACATGGTAAATCCCAACTGCAATCATAATCCTACCCAAATCAACACTTATCAATCCACAAGAGGATAAAGAATTAACAGTATTCATACATCTTAATTACAATAAATCGTACCATAGTCTTATAATATGACAGGTTATGCAGAAAAGTGTCTGAGGATCCAACTGCCAACCCCATTGATGAGCGCTGGTTGAGCATTAAAATAGACATTTATTGTCTTCCTGGCCTTTGGAACATGGAACTCGATTCTCACAGGCCAAGACAAAACATGCATCCATGACAGCCACACAGCCATCACCACTCACCAGCCCCATTTGGCACTTGAAGCTTTCTGCTTACAAGCTTTCATGAGATCTGTCATGGACCAGCCTTGCCAACCCATTCTTTGTACACTGTCTTCTTATCAAGCTGCACTCGGGGCCCCGACTAGCCTGGACTTGCATCTATAATTTATGTTACTGTGTGACATATTATATGGCAGTTTGGAGACCATTGTGTTCTCTCACAGGAAAAATGGAGAACAAGTGACTTATTGGTGAGACGGTGGTGGACATCACGATGATGATGAGGTAGCTACGGTGTCGATGGAGATAGAAGACTTTAAGATCATGAGGAAGACGAAGACAAAAGAGAAGTTGGTGATGGTGATATGTTTGATGGACGTTAGAGGTATTTTGAGGGAAAAGACGAAGCTTATTTCTCTGGTAAACGTGAATGAACAATTGCTGAGAGGAACTGAATCGAGCAAATCCTCCCAAAGTAATGGTGCTCTGCCGGTGTGACTTCTCTTCAGGGTTTGGCATCGAACCCAGGAAAAAGAAAGGTAAAGAAGAGGAACAAGAAAGCAAAGAAGACTGAGAACACAGATCGAACACCCACCCACAAGAATAATTGCGTTGCGTCTCGCTTGCGTATCTCTGGGCCCAGACGTGCCGGGGCCCCATGGCGGAACCCTTCTGTCGGTGGAAGCAAAGCGCCGCCCCTTGCCACCGCGCTCGGGGAGACGGCGACGGCTGCTGGCTTCCTTGCGATCGAAGGGGACGATGCCCTGCCGACAGCGGTAACTCTCTGCCTCAACGTCAGCACGTGCTCGGTCCTCGTCTCACGTGTTGACTTTTGGAGCCGGTGCGAAAGCTGGGGTTAGATTGCGCACATGGCACGGGGTGTTACCTATGTCGTGTGACGAGCGGTCGCGTTCGCTCCTGTTTCACCGACACGGGAATAGGTCGTCTTCGGAGAACATCGAACACGAGTTCACATGCTCCCCCCCCCCTGGATTTAGGTGACACGTCCAATGCAATTGCATGAGCTCATCATTTGATTTATTTGGACCGCAGAAGCATGATTGACCTGTGATGTCGTAGAATCGTTAATCATGCAACTGAGGAGGAGCACATCGAGGATCTGATTGACTGATTGATTGCTTGCATGAATACATGCTATCAATGGGACACGCCGGTCTGTCGTGGCGTAAGTCGGAGCTTAAGTCGTGACGTGTGCAGGGGCATTTTGTGCTACTAACTACACCTTATAATGGCCATTCCTCACGCTTCTCCCCCACACTACACACACCACACACTCCTTGTCTCACCTTCTTCTTTCTTCTCCTCTTACTCCTCGATCCGGTGTAGTTTCTTGAGTTCCTATCAGTAGAATCGTAGTAGCATTCGCTGTCCTAGCAATGCAGCGAGCTTTTCCTCTCCTCGCCGCTTCTCTCCTGCTGCTGGCCGCGGCCGCCACCTTGCCGGTGGCGCGCGGCCACAATATAACCAAGATCCTGGCGCAGCACCCGGAGTTCTCCACCTTCAACCACTACCTGTCCGTCACGCACCTGGCTAACGAGATCAACCGCCGACTCACCATCACGGTGCTGGCCGTCGACAACTCAGGCATGGGGGACCTCCTCGCCAAGCACCTGTCGATCCTCACCCTTCGCAACGTCCTCGCCCTCCACATCCTCACCGACTACTACGGCGCCAAGAAGCTCCACCAACTTACCGGTGGCTCCACCATCTCCTCCTCCGTCTTCCAGTCCTCCGGCCATGCACCCGGCACCACCGGCTACATCAACATCACCGATCACCGACGTGGCAAGGTCACGTTCATCACCGAGGACGCCGGTGGCGCTGCGCCCGCCGTCTTCGTCAAGTCCGTGAAGGAGATCCCCTATAACATCTCCATCCTGCAGATAAGCACCATCCTCACCTCCCCCGAGGCGGAGGCCCCCGTGGCGGCGCCCGCACCCGTCAACCTCACCGAGGCCATGAGCCGGAAGGGCTGCAAGGCCTTCGCCGACATGCTCCTTGCCCGCCGCGACGTCCTACAGACCTTTCAGGACAACCTCGACAGCGGGCTCACCGTCTTCTGCCCCGACGACGATGCCGTCACGGCTTTCGCCCCCAAGTACAAGAACCTCACAGCCGAAGGCAAGGCCTCCCTCCTCCGCTTCCACGGCGTGCCCGCGTACTACTCCCCCCAGCTCCTCAAGACCAACGCCGCCGCCTTGAGCACCTTGGCCACCAGTGGCCACAGCAAGAACTTCCACTACAGTGTGAGGACCGACGGCGACTCCATCACGCTCAAGACCCACATCGTAACCGCCACCATCACCTCCACCGTCGTCGACCAGGACCCCGACGCTATCTACGCCATCGACAAGGTGCTCGAGCCCCGGGAGCTGTTCAAGGTCCCCGAGGTCGTCAAGGCCGACGCCCCCGCACCGGCCCCAGCCGCCCCCGCGCCCAAGAAGGCCAAGCACGCGCACGGAGCCAAGCACGCGTCGCCACCCACCCCGGCCGGCCCGGACGAGGCGCCCGCGGACGCAGACGAGGAGGCGTCGGACAATGCTGCGTCCAGTGTCGGCGCCGCCGGGAGGTGGCTCACCACCGCCGCGGCTGCTACTGTAGCGGCAGCAGTCATATCAGTCCTCTAATAAACTAAGGTTCTTGTATTCTTCTTCTTCTTCTTTTTCACCCTCTGTGCTATAAATTATTCTCCTTTTCCTCCCTTTTTCTGCCTTGGTAATTTCATGATTTGAGAGGGGGAATAATTACAACGGAGAGACTCATATAATCTACTATATATTCTATAGTAGTATTATACTCTCTCTCTTCCTCTGGTGGGTTTGTCCTGTAGGTTGTGTGTGCTTTTGAATGGTGATGATTACTTTATAATCTGACACTGTTTGGAGATTGGACTTTGGATTCAGTGCAGGGTTTACTCTTTTGACTGCAGAGTCTCACTTGTGTCTTAGACCACAGAACTATATATTCTTCTTGTCCACTATATATAACACTACCATGGTACAATGGAAGCATGCTTAATTGGATCTAGCGAACTAAAAATGAAGGAAGAGTTCATGACAGCTGTGGTCACACTGTGAGGGTGGAGTGGGAGAGACAATGAGAACAAGATTGGTGCACATGGTGTGCCAGCGGAAAGCCAGACACCAGCATTCACTCCTGGTATCATCACTTCAGTGGCACTACAGAGTCTTAGCAGCAGTACAAATGAGTTGACTGTCCAAAGTTGAGGTCCTCTTTCACCATTCTGGGTGTGCAATAAATTGGGGTAGGTTGCTGTGGTGGGTCCTGCACTGACCCCACCATTGAATCAAACACCTAATGATAGATTTGATCATTTGAGCTGGAGGACATTGTTCATCACAATCGTCATATCGTTCCTTCCTAATGCCAAATGACTTTATTATAGGAAGGCAATCAATCACAGAAAGTCATGGTTTCCTTTCCTGATACCACCAACATGGCCAGCTGCATAGCAGACATGACAAGCTCTCTTTGGAGTAGCTTTCTTGTGTGTATATGTACATACCAACTTAAAGATGATATATACCGGTGCCAAAACAAATGCTTTGGATCAGAAGCACTTTCCACCAAATGACACTCTATTCATCAAGTAATGAAACCAAACTTTGTACAAAGCTCAATTGGTCTAATAAATTATACAGAAATGCATCGTTCATGTTATCTACGATATGTAAGCATATGACATCACCAAATCACTACTGGATTTACCGAGTTACGTATACTTTACTGCAACATGAGAGAGCTTCTATCATGGCAACTGTTCTTCATCAACCAATTTACAAGCATACAACAGTTTTCAGTCGTCCATTGTTAATGGTTTATGCTTTCAGATGTTTCGGTAATCTAAGACGCACACGATACAGTTTATCCGAAGTTTAATATGTAAATTATTGGTGTATCTTGATCAGTACAATTCACAGCGATTCACAGTTTCTAAGACTCCAAAGTGGAACAGAAGCAAACAAGTTAATTAGCCTCTCAGTTCTACGAGGAGCCTCTATGAAGAAGCGAGTGCGGAGGAAGGAATACACAATGATGTTACACCTAGTCAAACAGGCGAAGGCGTCCAGTCCGACTCGAGGAAGATCACAAAAACAAACTGTTTGGACAGCCACTAGCTGGTATCAACCTTTTGCCTCTTTGGAGCTTGTTCAGACCCCTCAATGTTGCTCTCTGGTCTTCCTGAGTCTCCAATTACTTGATTAATGGGTGAATGGTCAAAGCGATCCTACAATGAGAACAAGGATCGAAAACCCTGAGCTAGTAGTATTTAAACACGATAAGGTCTTCAAGAGTGGATTATCATCCATCCAACTATATTTCTGCCAGAAACACTAGCCCTTGCAACTATAATGTTAGGTACAACCATCTTAAGTAGTTGCTTGGTAGGTCCATCTCCAACTATAGTGATAGAATCCCAATTTAACGAAGCATAGCTTGACAATGTTTTCAATAATTGTCAACGAGATCAAATTAATTAATGAGCATTGCATCTAGGAAAAGAAGAAACTCATGATGTTGAATAACAGAATATATTCAGTAGAAGTTCCATTAGAAACATGTAAACCTACAATGGATTTATTCAGTAGCATTGTCTAGCATGAAAACTTAGATGAAAGGCATGTATCAGCATGGATTCAACATGTTCAATGATCATGTTATCTGGTTCGGTTGCTATGCCAAGGATAATGCACAAACAAAAAAATTATACCTTTGCACTGGACATATTAGTGGTGGTAGTCCTTCTGCTTGCACGTCTACCAAGATTAATCTGCACAGAGATGCTGGCCTGAGACATATCCACTCCTGCGCTGGCCATAGCTTGTGATACTGTGGTCAATAGCCTACATGCATACAATCCATATGGAACTCATTCCACAATCACCAATAAGACATAATTTTCGGACAAACATGACAAGATGTTCTGAAGAAAAATCTAGTAGTTTGATGAAGCCTGACCCTTGGGAATAGACACTAGAAATACTGATCGTGCCCTCATCAATTGTTAGCTCTTCTTGTTCATTCAACATATCATTGCTCACGGTGCAGTCGGCCATGCACGATGAACTTTGCCACTCAGATTGAGTCTGGGATACTAAATTATCTGAGTCTGAAATCACCCTCTCCTGAGGCTGCATAAAGCCGGAGCCCCTTCCAACAGTAGCATAATAGTTTGACTGCATGGGAACAAGCACCGTACCAGGACTCATATCAGCTTCTGCTAAATTATGTGCATTTGAGAGAGAAGTTGGTGCCCTGGGGATGCTATTATCAACAAACTTTCCAGCAAACAAAAGGCCAGATTGAGGACCATTTTTCGTAAGGTTAGGAGGGTCAGCTATACCATCTCTAGGGCCTTGATTGCTACTCTGGTGCAAGCCAAGAGAAAACATTAGTCAAATCTAAAAACTTCTATTGGGCTACTATTATAATGTCTTTAACAGTTTGTTAATCTTCTCCAAATGCACACTAGGAAGTGCTCCATAGTCGAAAATACACACACAAACATTTACATGTATAGAGAGAGAGAGTAGTAGAAACATCATGCGAACAATTTTAACCCAGGGAATGAAAATTTCAATCCAGGGGATGATTTACCCTTTCATACATCCTAGAGAAACCAGGTATATCATTTCTAACCTCAAAAAATCACAAGAACACATAAGGACCTTAAAGTTGTAAAAAGAACGATACTAAAATTAAAAAACTGATAATTTAGGCTATCATTGGTGGAGCACACAGTTCAGTTCAGTTTTGCTAAATTTCCAAATCAAACTGCACTTGGTCAATTTTCCAGAATCTGAAACTGAAATAAGCAAAATAACAAGAACAATCAGATCAAACTGGGCTTAAGATGTCCATTTCAGTTTGAATTTTAATTCAAATTTTAAATTATAAGATATATTGAAGATAAAAAGCAGTATTAAGTAAGTTGACTCGAAAGTCAATAGACCCGAAAGCTTTTCAGTAATTTATGATTGATTCACAAATCAGTATTCATTTCTTGTATGTACATGGAGGTTATATCTTCATTTTCTTTTCATATTTGTGTATCAGGTGAACTCTCAAATAAAATAGTTGTCATTTTTCCATAGATGTACACTCTCTTCCATTGATGTATGCTCTCTTCTCACATACAAGGAACTTCACATATTACTCATAAATGGAGTGAGATCAACCAGTTTGCAGGTATAATTAATAAGTACGTAAAATAATATATAAATACAAGAAGACGAGGTCCATAGGAATTCCAACAAAACATATAAATACAAGAAGAATAAATTGCAATATGTGGACTGTAAGTGAACTATTTCTTCCACTAATGAAATGAAGAAAAAGAAAGCAATGTTTCCTCCTTGCAAGTATATTAGTCAAATTTGTTGGCCTTCAGATATTTATGGACCGTCAGCATGTTCAAACATTGTTCTTTAGAACATTTAATAAATCAATGAACACAAAGATAGCCGGAAATGTGATTTCATGCAAAAAGCATATATATACACATTTGTTTTCATTCCAAATTTGCGAAAGAAAAATGGTAGAAGATTACCCATGGCATCAATTTTTCATTTTCCTGATTCCAACCTGGGAATGATTCATACTTTTGTACCTTCTCTTGTAAAAATTTAATGTACTCAATAACCTGCACAGGGACCAGATCTTATGAAGTGCAATTCCAAACAACTTAACCTCAAAGAAAAAAAAAATCAGAATATGCAACTACCTCCAAAAGGAATGATGCTTTATCCCTCTTCTGATCACTATGTGGTATGAGGTCTCTAAGTATCTGAAATCTGTACATAAGGAGTATTCACTTTTAGTGCATAATATTATAGTTGCATAGAATCATAACTGGAATAGATTGAATGTAATAGCATAAGGTTTAGTACTAAGAAAACTTGTTGTTACATTTTGATTTTTCTAGTATTCCAAAAATTAGGCAATAAAATTCAAATTTAATTTAAAACAAAAAATTTAGACATAACTACGAAAGCCCCGACAAATGTGAAAAAGTAAATGAAGCAACAAAACTTGTGGCAGTTTCTGCTGTAATCTTAAAATATCAATATAGTCTTGGACACTGAAATCAATTATCCATGTCAAATCCTGTTGGATGAAAATATCCACCTTATCATGCCTTCATGGATAGCCATGCAAATACCATATAAGTTCTCACTTCTCACCAAAATATTGCATATTTGACATCTCATGCCAGCATATAGGTGGGCACAGATGAAGGTTCCTAGTTAGGGATAGCATATTACCCCAAGTCAGTCTGCAAAAGCATACAGAGGAGGGACTAACATGATTGTCGTAACACCATATTAAATTTATCATATAACTAAGAAAAATATTTTGATATCACTACTAACAGGACTCGATATTGCAATGTAGGTAAAGTATCTTTTAGTGGAATATTTATGTTAGTTTTAAGATAGTTAGCTACAAGCATAATCAAATTGTCATTACTGATATCAAAATCAGATTGTTCTTGGCACATCCAGAATCCTAGCAATGACATGTTGAGAAACTTTCACTATACTATTTATAGACATTAGACTATACCAAGTTTCCTAATAGAAACAATATTGGTAAAGAAACCGTAGTGGTCCTTCAAAATTCTAATCCGACAGTTACTATAGAATTATGATTCTGGCTATCCAATCACACGTACAAAAGACAAGAAGATACGATAGGAATATGGGTTAAAATTGACTAATGACTAACCTGTCATTGATTTTGCACCTCCGACGCTGCTCAGTTGCAGAATGTTTTGACCTCGGCGTAGTTGGCGTACCTGGCTTCTGCTCACCACTCTTCCCATCCACGTTTACCGTGAGTTCCACTGGAGAAACCCAAAAGGGAAAACAAAAAGAGAGTTATTTGGCATAGACAACCCATTTTCTAGTTCAAAGGTACCTCTTTTTTTGGGGTTCAGCAAAATATTTCTCCTTTTAAAGTAAAATAGGTTTCAAAAGAGAAGTAAATCCACACTCGATCAAAACACAACACCAACAAGCTCATCATATTTCAGGTTTCGGTCAAGTAATTGGAAGAAGATACACTAAGTTAGAGGGAACTCATAGCAATTCTTGTTCTGGGCAACAAACTTTCAGAAAAGAAGACGTCAAAAAGTGATTTTTCTTAACTATTCGGAATTCGTAAAGCAAGCGCTTCCGTAAAACAAACACAACGAAAAGTAGAGAAAAAGACGATCATTATTTTTCCGCAAGACAACCTCTTCGAGACGATCTCTGAGTCCTCCCCATCTCATCCTCCTCGCCGCTCGATCTCGAGACCGACTCCATCGGTCGCTTCCTGCTCCTCCAAGGCTCACCAGCTCCGGAAGGGAACCCTCAGATACAGAAGGGACGAGGAGGTCGACAGAAACCCTAATCCAAGCGTTCCTCTCCCCGAAGTCCTAAAACTTCCCGTGGCAGGGAAAATACGCTAATTGTCACAGAACCCCTCGTCAAGGCACGTTATGACAAATCCATCCCTCATTCTGTAGCTTCCTTGACTGACACTGTTAACCCCTCAATCTTTTCTAAATTTACACGAATATCCTCCTCTCTCTGTCTCTGCCTCTGTTTGCGTCATTCTCGGCTACGAGTCGTCTTCTTCTCATGCTTTCTACTTCCCCCTCGCCGGGCTTATCACCGGCGTTCCGGACTCGATGATACCATGCTACACGAATTATCTACAGTCACGGGCTTCACCTGCATTGCTGAATGCTCCTCCTTCGAAGAAGACTCGTGGCTTGTGAAGCCCTGATTCTGTGTTTACTTGGAAGTGTTCGTTCGGATTCATCGGCACTGCCGTATGCAGAAGTGTTGCTGCTGTCTCTCGTTTCAGCATCTTCTATTGTTTCCATATAAGATCAAATCAGGAAGACAAATTCAAGTACAGATGGACAAACAGAGAACTATCCCATGATGAGGTTACAGAAACTCTGTAGGTTGAGATGCCGTAGGCCTCTTCCGCCCCTCTGCAAAGACTGCAGGAGGCTATCATGAGGTCAAAGCTTTCACTGTCCTTGAACTGGTTGTATTGCCGGATTCGCTCGTGTCTAAAGTTGATTCTTGAGTTCTGATTGGCTCAATGAATTGTATTACAGTAGCATTGCTGCAAACTAGTGAATCTGATTTGCTCATTTAATTCCTGGGATTATTATGGTTTATTGTGTCTGTGTTTGGGGATACGAATAGCTAACTTGAAGAGATCATAGCTTTTCCTGCATGAAGAACAGTTGGAATTCTAGACCTCACAATGCAAGGCCATCATGCTGTCTCAGAATGAAACATGTTTGTGTCTTGGATAGTACAATGTTTTTGCTGAAGATGTATATAGAACATCAATCTAGAAATCCCATGTTAACTATATAGATGCATTAGACATCAGATATGCAGAATACAAACTGTTCCTCTCTTGTTATATCCTAAACAAGTATAGATAACAGAGATAAAATAGACTCAAAACGCTCTGCTTTAGTTGTGCTTTGGGGGGTGGTTTTTCGGCGCCCGGTAATCGGAACTGAAAGATACAAAGCCAGCAAAATGAACCCTGGAATGGCGAATCTGATGTCTCACCTCACTCCCTACACTCGAACGCCCATCTTGTCCATGCTCATGTTCTTTGATCCAGTGTTTGGCGCCTGTGTTCACTGTGCTTCTGACTTCCTCCACCATCTTCCTTCCTCTGAGCCATTTCTGGCTGGTGGCACCAAGTTCCTGGTGACAATGTCAACTCTTAGAAGTTGCAGTAAGATGAATGTTGAGAGGCTTATGCAAATCGTACACTACCTCGTTCCTCTTGTGTTCTTGCACATAATTGCACCCGTAGACTGCCATGTCTGCAGCGAAGGAATTGGATGTTGCAAGAATTAGAATGGAAGGAATTAGAATGGAAGGACATAGAGAGAAGTATCTACCGCTTTTGGCAATGACAGTGAAGTCCTCCAGAGCAATCAAAGAGAGCAAGAACACTATGACAGTTGTTGTGGACATTGAGCACTCCATGACTTTCCTCTGACCTTCAGAATGTTTGTCATGCAGCAGAAAGGAAGGAGGAGAAAGAATTCAAAGGTCAGGCTCTATAAGCTGATGGCTCATAGCTGGGATTCCAACATCTCCTCTCTTCCTATATTAATTGCTCCTTGCAATCTATTTTAAATTGGCCTCATAACTTCTTCTGATTGGCCTTCTCTAGACTGGTGTACTTGGAAGGACTCAAACCTTGTCCTTGTGATAGAAAAATAAGAAAAGTAAAGAAGAAAGTGTTGGAATCCTTTGTATTGAGTATGATAGAAGATATGGGAGTTTGAGTCTGTCTTCCGCCATGCATGCAACGAGGTGGGCAATTAAATTGTGGTTGCAGGGGTTGCCAACCAGTCAAAACTGAGGGCTTTGGTGTGCTATTTTATAGCAGGATAGGACTCGAGTTCCAACATGAGCACAAATTATGAGATGATGGTCAAAGTCTTGTTTCTTACTGTTTGTTCTGCTAATCTCCATGAAGTTCTTCAATTAGAAAGGTGATCTTAGTTTATGCACTTTGATGATTCTCAAAGTGCCTCACACAGTGAAGGTGCCCAAAACTTGAAGAGTTGTTATTTCAAGGAGAGAATTAAGCGTATGATAATCCACAGTTTGGCCAAGGGATTGCAGCAGTCATGATGGCAAGATCATGAAATCGAGAGCCGGAGGAACATGGGCTCCTAGGAACTGATCACAGGGTTCATCATTAGTGAGCTATAAAGAAAGAGGAGGAGGAGGAGGAGGAGGTGCAGGTGGTCCTTTTGGGGGGTGGCTTAGAACACGAGGTTGTGCCACCCAAACTTCATGTCAACTGGTGGGACGGCTTTTGAGGCCCGGCCATGGGAGTTGCTGCCACCTGCTGTCCCTCGGCTGGTCATATGGGCTCTTCTCAAAGCTCTCCATGATAGTAAGCTTCCACACCTGCAGCTGCAGTACATCACAGGACCAGGTTAAATGTCTTCTGCAATGCAAATGTTGGAGAAAAGCTGGAAGCTTTCTGTAAGCATTACAGGATTTCACCCTCTGTAATGTTCTCTACAGACTCACAGTTGAGATTTGGAAAAGCTTTGGAACATTGGAAAGAGAGAGGAGTGACAGATCAGAAAGGTTCGCTCTTCTGTCTGTCTCTCCCATCTAACAGGCATAACCGACCCTTTTTTTTAGCGCACCCCCCCCAAACCGCGTCTCCTCCAATGAGATGCCGCCACGTCCGAGACGTTCTTAATTTAAGAGTGGGGCCCGCACGTTGTAAGGAACAAACGCCAGCCATGTTCATTCGCATAGCTGAGGTTGTGTAAGGGTCGCCTTCGAGGTCTGTTGACCACGGTTTGACCAGCCATGCAAAGTAGCACCGCTCGGCAACTCCACACGTTTCGGACGAGTAATCGACGACGCTCACAAACTCCGACACGCACATCCATTCCATGCCAAGCGTTTACAGAGATGCAATCCCACGGCGTCCTCCTCCCCCTCCGCGGCCCCTCGTCGTCCCTCTCCCTCTCGCGCCACCTCCGTCGCCAGCTCACCCTCACTTCTTTTCACTCGTCCAAAGCCTCGACCAGACCCCGCAGCCTCCTCCTCCCCGTCGCCTCCGCCGCCTTCACCGTGTCCGACGGCGAGCTCGAGACCCGCGGCTTCCGCGTCCGGCGGAGCTCGGACGGCCTCGACGTGGCCGCCCTCAACGACGTGTTCGCCCGGGTGGGGTTCCCCCGGCGGGACCCTGACCGGCTCCGCCGCGCTCTCGGCCACGCCGGCGGCGCGGTGGTGTGGGTGGAGGAGTCCAAGAGGGGCGGTGGGCCAGGGAAGCCGGTGGCGTTCGCGCGGGCGACAGGGGACGGGGTGTTCAACGCGGTGGTGTGGGATGTGGTGGTGGAGCCGTCGCTGCAGGGGATGGGGCTTGGCCGGGCGGTGATGGAGCGTCTCGTGGCCGACCTCCGACGCAGTGGCGTTTCCAACATCGCCCTCTACGCCGAGCCCCGCGTGGTGGGCTTCTACCGCCCCCTCGGCTTCGCCGCCGACCCCGACGGCATCAAGGGGATGGTCTACTCCCGCAGGAACCAGAAGAAGAGATAGATAGATTGTGATGACAGTAATAGTAACAACAACAATAATCATAATATCATGTGGAAGATCGAATGCACTGTTCATTCCTCACTGCTATTTGATATTGTCAATGAATTGATAGATTCAATTGCTGGTGTACAGAGATATGACTATAGGCAAAGATGTACATATTATTATGGTAATTTAATTGTAGTAATAGCAGTTTTTTCTCAACAAATAGAAATGGCATTAATAGTTCATATATCACTGCAGTTTTACAATTACAATAATAGATACTTTTTTATCTCAAAAAAATCATAATAATAATAATAATTTAATTATTATCATGATTATTCAATTGTAATAATAATAGACACTTTCACTGCAAGAGAACCATCTAATAGTTAAGCTATTATTATGATTATTCGACTACACAGTAATTAATATATTTTTATCCTAAAAATAATCCTGTCTCGTCTCATTTACAATAACCATTGCTATTAGATAGATATAGTGTGGAGTAATACTTTACTTATAGCACGGGCAGATCCAACGTGTTAGATTTGCATGTTTAGATGTGTCAACATTCTGTCCTCGCATTCATCTCAATGTCCTCTCTGAGACGATTCAACAGAGAAAAGATCACAAAGAAGAAGGAAAACCCTAATGACATGGAGCAGAACTTGATGCGGGTCTTGCTACGAAGGTAGGCATGTCATCTCCAGCCATCACGACAAGAATTCTTGGCTCCATATCCGAAGGCACAGCCATGGCTTTCTCATGCAGGGTTGACAACTCTGAGTTCTCACCACTGGAGGACTTGCTAGTAGAGCACAGCAGTATGACAAGAGCAATCGCAATGAGGATCCCCATTGCACCGAGACCTCCGAAGAGATAAGGAATTGGAGTCCGCCACAAGTTTGCAGGCTTCATGTTTCCTCTCTTTCTTCTCCGCCTTCTTTCCTTACCAGTGTGCTTAAGCTTTGTTGCAGAGGAAAGCCTGAGATGCGGGTGTGTTTATAGATCAGAAAGAAGTGATGGTGGTGGCAGATATAGTGGAGACTCCGTAGGATTTGGAAGCTTTCACTGTGTGTTCCCCCAACTTGCTAGGCTTGTAAACAAACTGGCATTGTGTGCTCTAAAAGAATGCAAACTTGCAATCTAACTCAATCTTTATAAATCTTCTAAATGGCCTTCCTTGATTAATTCTGTCTTTAAATTCATTGGAAAGTGAGAACCTCATTCCTTTCCAGTCACAATGAAAGCAAACTCTATGATTTGGTGAAGAGAACTTTGTTTCTCTGCAATCAGTTGAAGTCATATTCTCAGGATATTCTTGCACTACAGCACAGCATCATGAAAGCTATCTCTATGACTAATGCTACCCTCAAGTGAGGGTAGTGTGTGCACTATTTAGCTATCATTGCCTCGAGGAAAAGCTTGCAGATGAAGGTTCCATGTCCACATGGTGACCACATAACACATTACATATCTAGTGATTGCTTTGTCAAAGATTTAGAGCTGATTCCTCTGATGGAATGAGGAACTTAAAAGTGAGAGAATGTCAGCACTGTCACTCACTTTCTGCACCTCAATTTGATGGTTCAGAAAGAGAACAATGTTTGACAAAAGAGATGACAGGAAACATTCCCTATTCAATGAAACAGAACAGAGATCAAATCCCCATGATTGTTTCCTTATCAAATATCTTCTCCAGAGAAGAGAAAGAACATTCAGTAATCCTGTGCCTGGTCTTGGAAAAACACATGCCACTCTTTTTCATCTATCATTTTTGTGATCAATGTGGCCAATATCCACATTATAATCATCATATATTGCATCTGGTTTGATCAATGTAGCATTACAGATGAAACAATGCAAAACTGCACTGAAGGCATGTTCAGTAAGATCTTTTTAATACCTAAATTAATAAAGAACTCAAAAGATTATGTATATTCTGAAGAGTTCAGTGACCAGTGTCTAGGTTATCAATAGAGAGTTTTTTTTATTTTTGTACATTTTTGGTCTTGATTGGTTGTCTATAGTTTGATTGTATGTCACATCTAGAATTTTGATTGATTATAAGTCTAATCAATCACAATGGCATTTCCGAGCTTTATTTTTCGCACTGAGGTTGATGAGATATAGGCTCCTGCTTCATCTTCAGCAAACAAGATTGGATTCTGCTCATGAGCTTGTGTGCTTATCTTTTTAGATCTGTTTAGGTGTATACCATTGAGAGGAATGTTATTGAGTTGGGAGTTGCATGGTTGGTATTTTATTGGTGGCTGTTGTATTTACAGTTGATGAGGTTTTAAGCCCTTGATTTGCATGTTGAACTTACCAGGATTGCTGGAGATGTAAGATTATGGTTGAAATCATTTTCTAATGCACGATTTAATCCTATTCCACTTCTCGTGTCATCTCAAAATTTTGTTGTTGTTTGTGTTGGGATGTACCGGTTAAGATCACTCTGATACTTAAGTTAGTACGATGTTCAATGTAAAAATAAAAAAAATCTTAAATTTTCAAACCTTCACGACACGATGGGTTTGGCTGATCAGACTATATGTTGAGTCTCAATTGATTAAAATATCAAATATGAAAATTAAAATTAGGATATTTCATCCAAATTGAATCAGATTTTGAAATCTACTTTTATATCCAACCCCTTAGAAAATCCGATTAAAGAGTATTCGAATCTAGAGGAGCAATGCAAATGGAATGGGATCTTGTACCATGTTAGATTCACTGCCCAAACAATTAAACTTCAATGAATCATAGAAAGCAGCTGAGTCATAGAGTATTAGAATAAGGATCTGTACATTCATCTTATTGGCAGATTCATCTCATTACAGTCATAGAGTATGTAAGGATTAACAGCATTACATAAATACTCAAGTCATTGATTTTTCAGAATTCCGACTGATAACAGCATGATAGTTCAACCTTTAGAAACAAAGCCTGAAACAAACTAGGCGTAATTCTCAAGGAAAGAAATAATGCAATCCATAAAAGTCCGCAAGCAATTTCGTCGAATTGTAGTTCACTATATACAGCAAGAGCTATCAGTTTTCAAGTTTATTTATGGAAAATAGTAAATATTCCAATGTTTCACATCCAGTTTCATGATTGCACT